CTTCTTTGAGTATTAATATTGGGACATTTGTCTCTGAAATTATATATTTGATCTATCAAATTGTTGTTATTGTACAAAGTGCAAAGCATTCGCTTTCGCTCAGAAATAATCTGTTCGTCCTAGCGAGGCGAATAACGGCTATCGTCCTTTGAGCGAAGCCATGTGGCTGTGAGAAACCAAATAAAAGGGATTTTAAACTCCTTAGCCGATATTTCTTTCATCTTTGTATTTCGCTTTGCTAAACTTAAAATTTGGCAGACCACCGAGACGTACTCTCCAAGACCTTTTCAGTCACTGCAGCCTTGGTAGCACCAGCCGTAGTGATTTGCTTAAACTCCCTATTAACCCCCGCTTCAGACGGTTTTAAGATCGCAAAAAGGACCTTGATGTGTTTGAAGGTAGCAGAAACTACTCTTGTTATTTATGACACAATAAAATTTCTCATTGAAAGGCTGTTTTGTCTTTTTTTTTAAGGTTGATTAGTTATTCACAGTGTTTTAATTCTAGTAACATTTGCTATGCAAATTAGGTTTACGGATTTTTAACTACAAAATTGAACTAGAGCTCATTAGAAGCAAAATGAAGTGTTTTTTCTTACTGCATTATTATTATTGATAGTCACACTTCGTTAATTCAGCTGTATGTTAAATAAAGGATAAGAAAACCCCTTTTAGAACTGAAGTTTTAACCTAACTCACAGTTTTGGCCGGTTTGGTAATGTTCTCCTAACACGTCGCTACGTCAATACGTGCTTACAAATTGATTTCGGTTATTACACACGAGAACATCGCTTCTACAGAAACATTTGAAACGTGTTGCTATAGAGCGTCCTCAAGTTTAGAAGCCAACGGTAGTGGAGGGTCTCAGTGCAGACCAGAATCATGGCAGCAGCCACGTCGGTAACAACTAACCGCAGAAGGCAATATAAGACAAGTCTACAAAATTAGAGCTTTGCTGGCCTCAGTCAGCTCTCTTCCCAGTCCAATCATCAAAGCAGCGGTGACTGTTACACTTCAGATGGCTTTAATTGCTTGCTTCAACTCGGCAAAGTTCTCTCTTAGAAAGATAACTATAAAGCTCAGATGCAGTTTGGTGTAGGCTTCAAAGCTGACCTCTGATTTCCAGTACCTCGTGCTCATAATTTCTATCTCGGGACTTAAACTCAAGTTTCACTTCTTAGCTTATAGCTTCCTGATCGAGTCGGAAGCCACCAATGACTGACCAATCTTGTTCCAATGCAAAATTGACCAAAACACGCGCGAAAGTTTGGCTTTAGATGGGAGAAACTCTAAAACAAAGCTCGATCACTACTGAAGCATCGCAGCCTTTAGACATATACCGTCCATCCAGTAATAAAAGTCGACGCGGTCAAAATTGCAAATTAAACTTCCCGTAGTGACGGAAGCAGAGGAGAATGTCAAATATTGTCGAGTTTGGTGCCTGACCTAAAGTGAGAAATTAATTCTCACAAGTCCCAAATTTAGGGCTTGAAGTCTGGCATGAGCTATTTAGCACGATTCGTAATGTTAACGTTACTGTTGGATGAATACAGCGCAAACAGTCCTGCAGTACATGCATGCATCCCTCCATCTACCAGCATCCGTCCCTGTCTAGCTCTGTGTGCCATTCGTTCTTCCTTCGATGCATCGAACACGTTCCTTTTTGCGCCGTCGGAAACACAGCTCGGACGGAAAATTCTTACAAACAACCAGGCATGACAATCGACTTTTTGGGAAACGTATCTGTCACATTTCAATGAGTTGATTGGCAATAGCATTTGACGATCAGTTCTGGGTCACTACCTTTCCCTATCATGCACAAGCAAGTGTAAGGCTTCTATTATCTTAACTGACACGGCTCTCGTGCCATGATGTACGGTATAGGCAAGCCGGGGACATTGTTTACGTTCCGGGGCTGATACTATACTGCATGCGAAGTTATCAGATTATATATGCAAACTTTACATAGTCCTATTCGTTTCAGAATTATTCGCTCTTAAGGAACCCGGTAAAACGAAGAAAACATTCTTAAGGCGCAAGATTTGAATGTTTCTCCGTTTGCGTGCACAAGTAACGTAAAATAAAATTTTGTTTCTCAGAAACAAAAAAATATTTCTGAGGTTCCTTGAAACATGTTGTTTCAACAGCAATTTTTTTCTCCTCAGTTTAAAAGCAAACGAAGTTTTTTTCGCAATAATGCTCTGTCTTTTGTGGAGGGCCTAAAGGCAAAGTTTAGGGAAGCTACAGAAAGAAAGCGAAGATACAGAAAGAGAATGAATGCGACTTCACAACAGCATATAATTGTGTATCAACATGCCGCGATTAAGTTAAACGCACAGAAGACATTTTGATTGTCTGTAAGCGTTTTGAAAGGAGATCGAAGAAAGGAGGAAAGTAGCACATTCTTGCTATTAAACTTTTTCATTTCCTATTGTTACAGCAATCATCTAAATTTTGACGATTTTGAATGTCAACTCTTTCTACAAACAAATGATTTCAGAGAAGTGCGCCTGGGTAACACTTAAGAAATTGTCTAATTTCAAATTTGTTCGCCAGTTGACTTAAATACCGTCCAAGTTTTTTATTCATCTCGAGTCCTTTCTTCATGACTTCTTTCGCTTTTTCAGCTCTTCCAACGCAATGGTACAAGACAGCCAGCTGAGTTTCGATCATCACTTTCCATTTATGATCATCTTCTAACTCAATGTCAGCGACTCGTTTCGCTTTTAGTAGCAAATTAATTGCTTCTTCAAAGTCCTGTTTCTCTTTGTGACAAAGTCCGTAGTTTTTTAGCGTCAAAATGCTCTCTTTGTGGCATCCCATACCGAGTTTTTCCATCATGGTCAAAGCTTCTTTGTAGTGCTCTGAGGATTTGTCTATACATAGGACTTTGTCTTCATCAGTTGAGTTCTTGTCAGTTCCATGGACGAAGTAGAAGTCGGCAATGGCTTTATGGCCTTGAGCAGTCATGAAATGTTCCCCAAGGGACCGTTTGAACAGCTTCAGTGCTTCCTGAAGTTGAGGCAAACTTTTCTGACGTCGACCGATGAACAGCAAAGTTGCTGCAGTTTCAGGATGTTGTTCATTTAGCTTTTTTCGACACAAAATTAGAGCTATTTCATAAGCTTTGTTGAGTAGTTCTCTCGATAGCCTTCTTTCCTTGAGATAGCGTGCATATGAATTGAAAAAATGAACTTGAGACAAACCGTTTGTTCTAAATTCAGTATACCTCCTGGCATAAACATGTTGCGCCTGCTTTATGAGAACTTTGTACTGTGTTTGGTTGCCTACCTTTCTCTTTTCATTTGCAAGAAGACACAAAAGGTCAACTTTTTGGACGGGTTGTCTTTCCGACTGAAACTGATTCAAGAGCTTTTCCAAAATCATAATGTAAAAGTTTGGCAGAAGACACATTTCTAAATACATACATTTTTGCGGAAAATTGTCAAGAAACCTACTAGTAGATGATTGTAGGCAATCCACATCCCGTTTCTCCATCGCGTGGACATACAAGTGCAGAAAGTATTCAAAGTTGTGCCTGTCTACATTGAAGGCCTCAACAGATTCTTTGCACTTGTCTTCACTCCAGTACATATCAGCATTGTCAGCAAGACGGGAAATAAAGTGAGCACAGGCCATTTGTTCTGCTGGAACAATCTCTCTGGAGTACCTGTCTTGACTAACCTTCTTTACGAATGCTTGTATAAGCTGATGGACTTCATATCTACATGAACTTGGCTGCTCCAAAAGAGACCTGTTTTTCAGCGAGCGAAGAGTCCGTAGAACTGGCTGAGCTGCAGTATCCACTCCTGCTGTAATTACAGCTTCGGCAGCATCAGAATCGAAAGAACCCGGAAATACGGACATAATGGTCAGTGCTTCTTGTTCTGCTTTGTTAAGGAGATCAAAGGAAGTCTTGATTGCCTTTTCAAGGGACATTTCATCATCTTGAAGGACCACTAAAGGCTCCTTTTCAAGACTTTTGATTAATCTGTCTTCTTTGTAGTCCGAAAGCAGTGAACCAACAATGCAGAGAGCCAGGGGCACAGAGCCACATAATGTGACGATTTTAGCCGTCTGAGAGAGTTTCTGTCTAGTTTCTTTGCTCTGGACCTTTGAAAGAAGAAGATTCGACGCCTCATCAGGAGACAAACAAGCCAGTCTAATGTTCATGATTTCAAAATCATAATTAGGAGCACTGACCGTTTTTCTCGTGGTAATCACAAATGTCAAATTGTGATTTGATAAGGATCTCATTTCCCGTAACATATTGACAAATTGAACTCGACTACCAGACTCAACGATATCATCTGCATTGTCCAAAACGAATGTCACTTTCTTCATTAGTTGTTTGCTCCAGTCTAGAAGCCAATGTTGAGGATTCTCTGGCGGTTGAGAGTGGCTTTTACTGCAGGTAAGAATCATTGTTGTGGCTATATCTTTCAATGTTGTTTTGGATGCAAGAGAGCAACACAAAACACTCCTACAGTCTTCGGATTTGGCAAGCTCGTGAGCCACTTTGTTTGCCACAGTCGTCTTCCCAAAGCCCGGCCCACCAGTTATGACAGCAATGGAGACTGTTCCACTTTGGACAGCTTCTACTACTTGTTGAATTTCTTTTGAACGACCAAACACATCTCGAACCTCATCTGGAAGACAGCTGGAGAACTCACAAGGAGCAGTATGCCCTGAAATAGGCGCCTGAATGTGCATTTTCAGTTGCTGAACTTCCTGCTCTAAGGTCTGTACTCTTGGTTCAAAATCAAGTTTCCATTTGCCTACTTCTTCGTCCACTCGTCGCTTGGTGTCGTGATCAATGGGGTCCGTCTTCAGACGATCTATTTCCTGTTGATCAAGCCCTAGGGCTACAAGAGACTGAGAAATTTTGTTCCACCTGTCTTCGAATTCTACATCAGGAATGTCGGTAGAAATACTATGGCACAAATCATTACGGGAGCATTTAATTCGGACGATGTTTGCTTCACGACTAGCATCGGTTTCCACAGGCATTGTGTTCCATCCTGTCACGGGCTCAGTTAAACGGCAAATTACACGGAGCAATAAATGCAAAAGCGTAATGTCGAATGTTTTCGAGTCTGGTGGGTCGCCTGTAGAAGGAAACAGTTGTTCCCACTGGCCATCGAATATTTTCCCTCTCTTCTTCAAGTTCTCAAGCGAAGCCAAGTTGTTATTTAATACTGTTTGTAAAGCTGAAGACGGAATAAAGGAATGAAAAACTTTCCTCAGGGCTTCTGTTCCTCCGTCAATTAGCAATCGCGCCAATCTAGAGCCGTTCGTTTTTTCTTGCGATGAATCGAAGATGGAAGACATTTCTGTTAGATACTTCTTCTTCTTAAGGACAGACGCAAATGTTGCAGAATTCTCGGAAATCGAAGCAACGAGATCAGACACAAATTTCTAAGAATCTGCCGAGGTCACCAGACTTCATAATAAGCCCACAGTGCATCAACAACATGGAAATTTCTGGTTGTCAGGCATCACAGTGGCATGTCCAACGCATGACTATATATGGATGCATAACGTTAACGTTACGCAACCTCAGAAGGGAGGAGCTGGCCTAGGCCTGGGAACTAATGTTGAACGCCATAACACGTGAGCTAACAATGCCCATAATACCTTACGATACTACAAAGTACGCTTTTGGGCTTCTGTGCGAGAATCTTTCTCGAAACAGCTCTCATTCAGGTATCGTTTGGAAAAGCCTTTGAAGGGGGCAGATATCAGTGTCATTTAAGGTCCGATCGCATGACTACAAATATATATAAAAGGTCATCACAGGACGCCACGGGTAGTGAGCTTCAAGGAGAAGATGAGTCTGTTAAACTTGGCTCGAGACTAACTCATTACAGGAAATTAAAGTTTCATGAAATTAACGCGAATTCTAAAAATTTGCGTAAATTTAAGTCGCGATCGTAGAAATTTTTGTCAACGTTAATTTCCGAGTCCTGTTTACGACCTTAATTTCCATTATTTTCGCGCCAAATTCTTGATACCATGATATGCCATACTCATGAAGGAATTGTACAAATGGCTTGAAACAGATCGAGGAAAAAGCATTACCATTTTATAAGGGATTATAGTCATTGTTGTGGAAATAACGCCTGAAAAAATTTCAGGCTTGAACTGATGGGGTTCGAACCCATTCAGCGATCTTTATACATATTTTCTTCACTCGCTGAGTTGTGAAGTTCGGCGGGATACAGACATGGTTTATGGTCATGCTAGGAGTTCATGCGCTCCTGGTCATACATAAAACGAACTTACCAGTTCGTTGTGTAGTTCGGCAAACGGCCATGGTTTGTTACAATGCACACGTCACGTACATTTCTATTATAAACTACCAAAGCAACTAATGCCCCGCCCACACTGCGCCGGAGATATTTGAAAACAGAGGCGAAAACGCATCAAATGTTTTCCGTCCCGCACACTAAAACGCAAAGCCGGCGTTTTCAAATTCCTCCAGTTTGAGGAGCGTTTTCGAAAAGCTCCCTTTTCGTGACGGATCAGTGTGGACGGTACGCCTAACTGTAGAAATAAAGCTGTGTTTTCAAGTTTCTCCGGCGTAGTGTGTGGACAGGGCCTAATACTCCAACACAATGATTAATCTATGATTACTAATCAGCTACAGTATAGTACTCAGTCCTCGGTGTAGTAACATCATTTAACTCCTGGGGTATGGACTCCTGGGATATACCTCTTCGAGTCAATTTTAGCCCCCTACGGGCCAATAAAGATTAATCTACTGATAAGGCCATCCCCTTTTTTTTCTCTGTTTAGCGTCGTCCGACCGACCCAGATTTTCGCGTTTTCAAAAAAAAA